TCTTGGGTCCTCATAATAACCTCAGGAAGTAGGCATTATCCTGTTTTCCACAAGAGGAAGCTGGGCCAGAGGGGAGCCATGCCACCTGTACCAGGTCTCCATATAAAAGTGACTTTTTTTGTCCAATCCTGTCAGTCGCATCACTCTTAGGCATGCTCTGGGCTGGTTGGGTAGAATTTATGAAATCACAGCATCAGGCAGATTTTTTTCCTTGGTTAAAAAGGTTTGCATTCCCAGGTAGGAAATTTGAGATAAGGGATTAAAAGAATCTTGGAGTAAAAACAGTTGATATTCTTCATTACAGAGCGAATGGTGTCCTCTACACACAAAGAGGTTCCATCCCCTTTGCTTACCACTAGGGCTTAGTCTCCAAAGCAGAGCCCGCCATTGCCTTTCTGAGTTTGTCTACATTCTCGTGGGACCTGAAGCTTACCTCTTTCTAAATAAAAATATGAGATTAAAAAGATAGCTCTTCTGCAAATCTCCTTTTATTCCAGAATATAAAACACTGATTTCCAAATGGGGGAGAGGAAGGAAGAGAAGGTGAATGGACTGCTGACTGAGAAGGCCCAGCCAGGGGAGAAGAGCCCCACCCCCTGGAAAAGCAGATGTCACTCTTCAGCCTTCTCAGGACAGGCCCAGCACATAGGGCACCTCTTGTTCCTACTACATTCTCTAAACAATGAATTGTTCACCCCAGTTTAAGGAGGAGGAAACATTAGGTCAGGTCAGTTAAGTAGCTTGCACTGAGTCTGCCCAGCTGCTTCAAGGCAGGAAGCTCTGCCAATCAGTGCTTTTATTATGCTTTAGTTTTATCTATTTTTATGAATTTTGGTACTTGGGATTGAACCTGGGGTGCTTTACCATGGAGCTACACCCCTGGCCCCTTTTATGTTTTATTTTGAGATAGGGTCTTGCTAAATTGCTGAGGGCTCGCTAAATTGCTGAGGCTGGCTTCAAACTTACAATCCTCCTGCCTCAGCCTCCCAATTTGCTGGGATGACAGGTGAATGCCAACATGCTTGGCCTGCTTTTATTTTATTATTTTTTGGAATTTAGGCTTGTTTATTAGGACTAATTATAGTCCTTCAGCATTAATATGGAGGTGATATGCACCCAGAGGAATGCAACGTGGGAATCCCTGACTTTTTAAAAGATTTTAAGTCAGTATGGGAAATAAAATAATATGAAACAAGTATGACACAAATGTAAAAATAGTGCCATAGGCATTTAAAAATGAATCACTCCCCAAAGAATTCAATTAGCCATTTCAAAGAGAACTCCAGTGAAGCTTCAGTGGTCACATACCTTTGCATTTAGATTGCAGTCGTCTCTGCGTTTGTCTTGGTAACCCAGATATATGAGAGTTACGAGCTTTTTGTTGTATCTTGTTTAATGCCTCCTGCATTCCTTTAATAGAAATATCCTGATTTGATTTTTAAACAAACAAACAATCCTTAAGGTCCTTTCTTCAAAGCAGTCTTGCTTGGGTTCCAGAAAGTAAGGAGTCAGTAGAGCAGGAGTGTCTGAATGTACCTGCTTAATTCCACCCCTGTCTTACTCCTTCCCAGGACCCTGTATGTACTCCTGGACTTGGCAGGCAAGCTTTGGGAAGCTGCAGAGCATGAATTAACTCCATTCTTCCCTCTTCCCTTTCAAGAACATTAACTATTACCCAGTAAGGAAACAGACAAGATCTGAATCTTCTTTTCTTCTCCAGGTAGATAGAGCACAGCTTCTGGTGACCTGGGCTCTTGGTTTTGTGCATGATGTTAGACAAATAAATAACTTAGAAGCTTTGGTTTGGGGTCTTTAAAATGGGGCTAAGAGCTATTGTGGTGGTTAAATAAGCACTAAAAATAAGAACCCTCAGCCTAGTGCCTTTCAATAAATGATTAGCTTAATAGTGTTACCAGGGATGCCTCACCCTCTACTCCAGATTTTCATGATAAGAGATGATCTCTAAATCATCTCCTGGCCTCTTTCACTACTTGTTTAGAAAATCGGGCAAAAATACACTTTTCCCTTCTCCCCTTGGGAAGGAACTCGCCTTGACTTACCAGGCAAAGCACACCTGAGGGTTCATTTTGCTAGTCTGCAGGTTCCCAGGCTTGCTCTCTGTAATCACTAATCAAGAGGCTGTTTTAGTTCTCTGGCTTATGGCTCCTGAATTTCTGTTTGTTTAGGAGCTGAGCAGGGAAGAGGTATGTGATGTGTTCATCTTCCCTAATTTTCCTTAATTAGTGTTTGCCGTCCTCTTCAGTTCTCTTATTAGAGTCATAGAATTTTAGAGTGGAAGGGATTTTACAAATGACCTGAATTTATTTTGCCATCCTGAGTCTCCCTACCTAGTGACCATTCAGCACACTTGAGGTTACTAGGTGCAAGCTCACTCAGAGGTGGCCCATTGTGTCAGGGACACCTTAGATTGCAGTCCTCATATGGTTTTCATTCAGCAGGGTTGGGTTTCAGTCCCGCCTGCAGTTGGTGTGAAACCTTTAGATGCAGTTTTCCTTGGGAGAGATGACTGGCCTAAAGGCTGCCCCCTTTCAGGTTGTTCATTTTAGAAAATTCATTATCCCAGGTACTTGGGGCAGGAGGATTGCAAGTTCAAGGCCAGCCTCAGAAATTCAGAGGGCTTCTGTCTCAGTATAAACAATGATAAGGGCTGGGGATGGAGAGAACCACTGGGGTTCAATTCCCAGTGAAGAAAGTAAAAATTTGTTGTAAGTAGTCAGAATTGGCAGAGGAAGCAAGGGATGCCTTTGACATCTCAAGTAATTTGCCACCACCTTCTGTATCTGCTGCTTCCTGAGCAAATTCCAGCTTGTGTCTTGTCTTGATGCAGGAGAGCACCCTCAAGGTCCTCTGTGCACCTCCCAGCCTCAGGGCTCCTTGTGGGGGATGCAGCCAGGTTGGGTCCTGGCAGGCCACCTCCTGGAGACTGAGCATGGGGAGGACTCTGGTGGAAGGACATGAAACTGCCAGTGTAATTCTGTTATGGTGCCGAAGATGCAGAGTCCTGGCTTCAACATGCTCACCTCGATTTACTTGCCAAGTGCAGGCAGACTGACTTGGGATCTGCTCCACATGCAGAAGGAACCAGCAAATGTTAACAAACAGGGCTTCTAAACTTTAAAAAATTAACAGCTTTATTGAGATATACTTAATATACCAAATTGCACATTTTTTTCTTTTTTAAAATTTGTTTTAATTAATTATACATGACTGTAGAATGCTCTATGATACATCATGCATAAATGGAGTATAATTTCTCATTTTTTCTGGTTATTTATGATGTAGAACCCCACCATTTGTGTAGTCATATATGTATATAGGGTAATAATGTCTGATTCATTCTAATATTCTTTCTATCCTTAGACCCCTCCCTCTACCCAATCTAACGTAACTCTATTCTTCCCTAGCTCTTCTGCCCTTATTTTGAGTTTTCATGTGCATATCAGAGAAAACACTGGGCCTTCCTTTTTGTGGGATTGACTTATTGTTTAGCATGATAGTCTCCAGTTTCATCCGTTTACCTGCAAATGCCATAATTTCATTTTTATTTAAGGCTGAGTAATATTCCATTGTGTAGGTATATGTGTGTGTGTGTGTGTGTGTATAATCTCACATTGTCTTTAGCTTAGTTATTGTAAGTTATTGTGAGTTGAGTGGCTGAAAACATTGATGTGGCTGTGTCATTGTAATATACTGATTTTAAGTCCTTTGTGTAGAAACTGAGGAGTGAGATAACTGGGTCAAATGGCACTTTTTAAAGTTGTTTAATTTGGTAGTTTTTAGTATATTCATGGAGTTGTAAACTATCACTACAATTAATAGTAGAACATTTTCATCACCCTGGAAAGAAACTCTGTACCCATTAGCAATGACCCTCCAAGATTCCCCTTCCTTATCCCCTGGCATCCATACTCTGCTTCCTATTTCTATGGATTTGCCTGTTCTGGACATTTTCTATAAATGAAATCATATAAAATGTGTCCTTTTGTGTCTGGCTTCTTATGTTTATTGTTTTCAAGGTTCATCCATGTTATAGCCTATATCAGTACTTCATTTCTCTTCATGACCTAATAATTTTCCATTGACTGGATAGACCACTTTTATTTATCTGTTCCCCAGTTGATGGGCATGTGGTTTGTTTCTACGTATGGCCTATTGTGAATAGTGTTTCTATGAACATTAGTATACAAGTTTTTGTGTGGATATGTGTTTTCAGTACTTTCAGATATAGATATAGGAGTAGAAATGCTAGGTCATATTCCCTGAAGAAACTTTAAAATTATTTCTTTTTTGTTTGCTGTTCTTGGGTCCCTTATTCCTGTTCTTTAGTTTTGCGTTCACTTACTCTGTGCTGAACATTATCTGTGACTTGATATAAAGTCAACACATCTGGAACCCTGGTTGAAATTCTTTTTAAAAATAATTAAAAATTACTGAAGTGAGAATAAGGTGAATCAAAAAAAAAATGCTTATTATTGCCGGGCATGGTGACACATGCTTATAATCTCAGCAGTCAGGAGGCTGCGGCATGAAGATCAAAAGTTCAAAGCCAGTCTCAGCAACTTAGCAAGGCCCTAAAGTTACTTAGTGAGACCTTATTACAAAATAAAAAACAAAAAGGGCTTGGGATGTGGCTCAGTTGTTAAGCACAACTGGGTTCAATCCCAGTACACCTATCCCCGCCTCAAAAACAAAACAAAACAAAACAAAACACCTCAATTTATTATCTAGTTTGGATACTAGGCTATATTTGGCTTTGTTTCTCCTCCTCCTCCTCCTTCTTTTAAATTTTAGTTTTCGATGGACCTTTATTTTACTCACTTAGTTATATGTGGTACTGATAATCGAAGCCAGTGCCTCACACATGCTAGGCAAGCGCTCTATCACTGAGCCACAACCCTAGACCTGGCTTTGTTTCTTCTTCACTGAGCTTCTATTTGAACATTGACCAAGACTGTCTTTTTTTTTTCTTTCTTTTCCAGAATCGCAATGAAATAAAGAATGGCACTATCCTTCGGTTAACTACATCTCCAGTAAGTTGATCTTAGTTCATCTCTTCCTAGTATACTCTTTGCCCTCAGGTTGTTTTTGATTTTGGGGGATTGATTTTGGAGGGTGACTTTAGTGCATAACAAAAGGGCTCTGGAAAGTCTTCACATGCAGATTCTGGATTGGCAGGAATGCCCCCTCCATATTTCCCATTGCAGAGGAGGAAGATTTCCTTCCAGGGAAAGAGAAAGTAAATTGATTGTGAAGCCTTGAAGTTTGAGCTTCCGGGTCATTTAACACTTCTTATATGATGGATGGGATAACTGAGCTGTCATGATTGGTTTCACCCAGTTGCTCACAAGCAAAACAAAACCAAAGCTTGTTAATTCCCTTCTGAGTCAGAGGGTGTGTGTGTGTGTG